GGGGGGGGGGGTGGAGGGAGCTTGCCAAGGAGAGGGCGAGGGTGCGATGAGGGAGGTGGGTGCCCACCACGATAGAGGAGCAGGAGTCCATGGACTCTGTGCTGATTCCTCCTTCGTGTACAACCATACCTTCAGACAACCACCATTCTGCCCTTCCATAAACAAAGAAACCAACTGACCCACAAACCTCCAGGTCGCCGTACAGCTCCTTGAAGCGCGTGCCCTGCTGCGCCTCCACGCGGTAGTCCAGCTCGCGGAACAGGCTGAAGGCCCACTCATCCAGCAGCGCGGCCAGGTCGGTGTTCATGCGACGCAGGCGCTGCACGCGCCGCGCCACCCAGCGCAGGATGTAGATGTCCAACGCGATGAGGGAGGCCACGCCCGGGCGCTGCACCTTGACCGCCACGCGCCGGCCGTCGGCGCGCAGGGTGCCGACGTAGACCTGGCCCAGCGAGGCCGCGGCCACGGGGGCGGGGGAGAGGTCGGAGAAGAAGGCGGAGGCGGGGGCGCCCAGGGAGGCATGGATGATGGCCATGGCCTGGTCGGAGGGGAAGGGCGGGATCTGGTCCTGCAGCTTCTCCAGCTCCAGCGTGACCTCCGGGGGGGCCACGTCAGGCCTGCGCGGGGCGCCAGGTTTGGGAGTGGATTGCGAGGGAGGCGGGAGGAAGGACGGGGGGAGTTTGTGAGATCATCTCCCGTCCTCCAAACTTCCACCAGCACGAGAGTACAGGATGCAGTGGACGGCAGGCAAGCCGGTTCGGCACCCCCTAACCCCAAGTCTGCAGCAAGAGCATCGCCCGCGGTCTGCTGGAGGACGTCGGGGCCAGGGCCTCCGCGCTTCACCCCGCGGCCACACCCCATCCCACCTGCTGCTGACGGCCTGGCCGATCTTCACCGCCGCGGCGCCCAGGTCCACCAGCACCGCCCGCAGGGCCTCGGCGCGCTGCTGCAGCACTTCGCCTGGGCTTCCGCGGGCCATGAGGTAACCGCGCACCAGCCAGGTGAGCAACGCGCCGCCGATCTGCAGGCCGCGCTGCGCGACGGTGACTGGGCGCGTGGCCCAGTAGGCCGCGTTGACGGCGGGGGAGTAGGCGGTGAAGGGCACCGACTCCTCCTGCGTGACCACTGGGGAGCCGGGCCGGGAGGGCTGGGTCAGGTGAAGGCCCGTGCCACGGCTGGGGGCAGACGCCAGGGGGGCAAAACCCCTGGCGTCGGGGCGCCGGGGTGGGCGGGCCGGGGAGGGGGCCCGGACCGCGCCGGGGCCCAGCAGCTGGGGGCGCAGGGTCGCATGGCGTCGCAGGTTGCTGCGCATGGCGCCTGCCAGGGCACTCAGCATCCCCCGCACCCCGGCGAGGTGGGGGACTCCCTGGACTGGCCAGGCATGGCACGGTACGTGCGTGCAAGCAAGTCCAGGATGCAAGAAAAGATCAGATCGGCGAGTGTCGGGGCAGGCGGGGGTCGTCGGCATCTGGTGCCGATCGAGGAAAAAATGGCCGGATGTGTGATCCACCGGGCTCGGGCACATGCGTGGCGTGCTGCGTCCCCACACAAGATCAGCATCCATGCTTCCCGGCGAACACATGATCAGCTCGGGCAGTTACAGAGGGCGCCTGGCAGCGAGGAGTACGTAAAAGGGTGAGTTGGGAGTCAATCAGGGATGAATCGGGGAGGGCACCAATTGTCACGGGTGAGGGCGAGCACTGCGAGTCCCTGGTCTCGCAGCTGTGAGCGAGCAGGAGATAGCGCGGAGCCATGGCGTGGGCACCAAAAAGAGGGGGGCAGACACGGTGTGACGCACGCCGGGATGGTTTCCAAGGCACAAAGTGAAGCCTCCCTGGCAGCTGCAGCGTGAGGGACCGTCCGGAAAGTACAGGACCCTCCCATTCACGCCGCTTTGTAGACAGGCCCGGTCCCCTGTTTCTTCCTCCAGGCCGTCTGCGCCGTCTGCCAGAGCAGGATGGCGTTGAGGAGCAGCTGGGACACCGAAGCCACCAGCACGAGCTTGTCGTCCACGAGCGTGAGCGTGGTGAAGAGGCGGCCGAGGTTGCCAGCGACGGACAGGGCCGCACTGCCCATGCTGAGCTCCCCGCTCCCGCCGTTCCTGATGTTCATCCAGATCTGGGGCAGGCGGCCCCCGAGCGCCAGCAGGAGCACGCTGCTGGCTTGGAGCTCTGTGGCGGGGCAACGGGCGGGGTGGTGTGGGTCGGACATTGGTACTGGAGCTGGGGGCAGCTGCGGCAAGTTTTCAACAGGCAGTGAGAGGCGGTGCAGAGGGTGGTGGAAGCATGCGCAGCTCAACGACCGCACCGTCTCCCACACAAACATCGGCCTGCCGTGACTCACGTGCCAGCAGGGCGTCGCTGCAGACCCCAAAGCACAAGGAAGCTGCAAAGGCGGTCAGACCAACAGTGATCAAGACTTTATTCCTGTTGGAGATGCATCTGCGTCGCGTGAAGTGAGGGATTGGAAGGGGTGAGTAGCAGAGAAGGGGTTGGCAGGGATGGAGGTGTGCAGGATGGCTGGAACTGCAGCGTCAACGGATAACTTGCCAGAGCCCTCAGGGAGGCTGGCTGGACAAATCCTGGTCCCCAAGGTGGAATCAAGTCTCTTGCCAGGACCCTCCCACACAACAAGTTGCATACAGCCAAGATGCCACGGCAGACGGTGTGCATGCTTGTTCCAGCCATTCAGTCTGCATTTGCAGCCTCACCCGTGACGGAACATGAGGCCGAGGATGACGGTGTTCTGGAGGCCACAGGTGGCGGCATCGCCATAGCTGCTGAAGGGGTACCCGTGCCTCAGGTTGTAGGCCATGTTGACGATGCACACCACAGTCTCATTGACGAATGCCATGGTGGACAGCCCTTCAACACTGCAGGGGGCGCGTGTGTGTAGGGCGGGGGTCAATGAAGCGGGAAGAGGTGGGGAGTCGATGCGGGCTGAGGCACAGCAGCATGCTCTTGGCACAGGGAGTGACTTGCTGACCTTAAGCTACCCTTCCCTCACACACGAAGATGTCAATATTAGAAACACTCTTACGAGTATCCAAGACAGGGACTGGCGCCCACCTCTTGGACTTGTAGATGCGAACGATCTGCGGCATGCTCCTGAAGCAGGAGCCCCCAATGACTGCCCAGCCCACGGCCTTGGCCAGTAATTCTGAGGCCGCGCTGGCTCCAGCATAGCATCTGACTGCAGCGATTGGAGACAGATGTATGGGGGGCTCGAGTGCAAGCCAGGAGCATGCCGAAGCAGAGTACGGATGTGCCCATGTCCCGGCCTACCCTGGCGAATAGCGGCAGCGCCGCGAGAGGGTTTCAACGCCGGACGCTGCACGATGGATGGTTTAATATGTAGGGATGTACCCCGAAGCAATACTCTCCCCCCAGAGAAACACTCGTGGCTCGGGCGAGCCGTCCCGGAAAGCATTGGGTTGTGGGTCGAAACCTGGTGGTCCAGGCCACGAACGCTATCCTGTTGCGGGGAACACGATCCCCCTGCACACTTCAAGTCACAACCATGCGACGACAAACAAACACAACTGGTGCTCGGCATAGGCGACGCAAGTGGTGAGTGTTAGGGCAGCATCCGCCGCGCCCACTTCGGAGGAATTTCGGAGGGTCTACCCGCTTTCTTAAAGATGCCATGCGAGGGTGGTGCCTCAGCTTGTTGCAGAGCATGTCAACATTTTCCCGGCAGCCATGGTGCGCGGTCAGGCATTGTAATGGCTCGGAATGTTGTCTCGAATGCTATCGGACAAGGTTGGGAGGACTCGAGGCATCTGGCCGGATTGCCACGATAAAATCTCCCTGGTCCATTGCGCATGTAATCGCGGCCTTGAAGCCATGAAGAGGCATCATGACAGACCTGAGCGGATAAACATATTGAATTTCGAAGCACAGAGGTGCCGTAGGGCCGGCAGCACGAGCAGGAGGGGGCCACAATGTCGCGTTAGGCGAGTGTCAGGGCAGCCATGGTCTCCCTTTCCTCGTCATGAAAACCCTCTGGGGATCTTGCCGCTGGGGCCTCAAAACCAGGCGTGAAAGCTGAGTGTGGCCTTTGCAGTGCACATGATCTAGAGCGAGTTGATAGAATGTCAGATAAAAGTGGAGCCGAGCCACCGGACATGACACGGGACGCCCCGCCCCCAGGCGTGCCGTATGAGAATGGGAGCTGGGCCAGTGCGCTGGCCGCTTCCCTGGTGGTGCATGCCCCCATGCCAGAGTTTTGCGCAAATAACCTTACCAGCGTATTCTTGGGCGTCGACGACATTTGGTGAGCAGCCGCGTGTGAGAGGCTTGCAGGGTGGTGCAGGTTGTGCCCTTGCTCTCACACGACAGCAGGTCCGGGCCGGCCCAGTGATCGAATGCCATATCCGACGATCCAGGGTGGTGCTGGCCAACGGCGCGGCCACCGAGCTGGAGGCTATCCCCGTGCTGGAGCGGGGCTCGGTGTGTCGGGGCCCCCTGCTGGCCGACTGGCCCCTGCCGCCGGGTGCCCCCAGCCTGTCCCGGATGGTGATGGACAGCAACAACGTGGAGGAGCTCATGGGCGAGGCACTGGAGTGAGGAGACGATGGGGGGGCATGTGGGGTTCTGTGCTGATTTGAGGAGGGTGGTACGGTTGCCGAGCCTGCGGCGAATTGGCTCGCGGCCGGCGCCAAGTCACACTCACCGCCCTGCGTCTCCGCCGCCGGACCCCAACATCTTCGCGCTTGTTCTGTCCTCAAATTCTTCTCCCCCATTCCCCTCTTCCCTTCCCCCCCAGGTCCGCGCCGGACTACTCGGATCTGGAGGAGCTGCGCCGCCGCGGCGCGGTGGGCTGGTGCCAGGCCGCGCCGCTGGCGTGCGACGCGCCGCATGCCACGCTGCTGGGCGCGCTGCTGCTGACGGGGCGCGGTCCGCGCCCCACCATGGACGCGGCCTGGCTGGCGGACTGGGCCTGCGAGATGGCGCAAACCATCGCGCACGCCTCGGTGCAGGTCATGGAGGCCAGCCTGGACGTGCTGCGCGTCGTCTTCCCGCCCAAGGTGCTGGAGCAGCTGGTGGCGGGTGCGGTGCGCGCGCGCTCACCCTCCCGCATCCTGGGCCTGGCCGCCGAGCTGGCGGAGGAGGAGGTGGCGCCCTGCCCCGATGCACGCACCGGCGCGGAGGGCGCTGCCGAGGCGGCCTCGGAAAACCCGGCCGTCGCGCAGGAGGGCGGCGCGGCGTCGGGCGGCGCCGGCGCCACCCCCCCGCGCGGCGGCACGCCCTCGCCCGCGCCCTCGCACGCCATCTCGCTGGACGGCAGCGCCAGCAGCGGGGCGGGCCCGATGCCCTTTGCCGCGCGGCGGGCGCGCTGCGCCCCTCGGGCTGATGGCTCCGGGCCCGCGCCGCCGTCGCGCGCGGGGTCGGCGGCGGCGGGGCCTGGCGACGCCGCGGCCGTGGGCGCGCGCCTCGGCTCCGCGCCCGGGTCGCTGCGGCTGAGCCGCGCGGGCACCGCCAGCCCCATGGACATGCTGCGCGCGGGGAGCCTGGAGTCGGACACCTCCTTCCTGTTTGACGACGCGCTGCCGTGGAGCCCCCACAGCTCGGAGTTGAGTGGATTCGAGGACCTGCTGGCCGAGGACGCCGCCGCGCACGCGCAGCGCCGGCCCTCCGCCGCGCTGGACCGCGCCTACTCCCGCTCCTCGGAGCGCGACGCCGCGGGGCGGTGGGGCGGGAGCGGCAGCGACCCGGAGGCCATCGCCGCCGCCGGCTCGCCGCACCACTCGCCCGACGGGCCGCTGGCGTGGCAGGGCGCGGCGGCGCAGGCGGCCGCCACCGTGGCGGCCTCGCAGCAGCAGGCGGGGGCGGCGGGCGGCCCGCCCTCGCCGCGCTCCGCGCTGGGCAACCGGTCGCCGTCGCAGGCGCAGCTGGCGGCGCGGCTGGCCTCCATCGCGGAGGGCTCCTCCGGCTCCCTGGAGTCATCGCTGGGCATGGGCCGCGACCCGCGCACGCGCACGCTGGAGGCCGTCGCCGCCGGGCTGGCCGCCGACGCGCTGGTGGCCGTGCACCGCTCCAGCACAAACGACACCTCGGCGGGGGTGGCCGCGGAGGCCGCCGGCAGCCTGGAGTCAGACCTGGGCGCGTCGCCCCCCGCCTGGCGCGGGGGCGTGGGCGCCGCCGCCGTCCTGCGCCGCCGCCGCCAGCGCTGGAACCTGGCTTTTGTGGACGCGGACTTGGAGGATGGGTACGAGGCCTGGGCGGCAGCGTTGGCGCTGCGCGCCGACGCGCTGGCGGGGGCGCTGTGGGTCCTGGCGTTGGCGGCGGCGGTGGAGGGCTTGGTGCGCGGCGGCAGCCTGCTCTCCCTCGGCGGCCTCACCGCCTGCCTAGGTGCGTTTGTGTGGTGGGGGGGGGGGGAAGGGTTTAGGAGCGGATGGTGTGATGAATCGGAACTGGGCAAGTGTGCGTACTTTAGGAGGTGCGGGGGGTTGCAGGGATCACGGTGGGGCTCACGCGGTGGAGGCCTGGAGGGCCTGCGTGTGGGTGCATGGCCGCCTGGTAGATGCGGCCGGCTCCTGATGCATGGGATGCACCGAGACACACCCTCTCAGCCAAAGAAACACCCGCTTCTCCCAAAACCCTCAACCCTCAGGCCTGATGGCGCTGGCCATCCCCGCCCCGCTCTCCTTCTTCCACCCCACCTGGTGGGCCACGCACCGACTCGCGGCCGTCACGCTCTTGCGCGTGGTCTGCTGCCTGGCCTGCGTGGTGCAGGTGACCATCGCCGAGGCCAGCGTGGCTGGGGCGGGTACCCTGCACGAGCTCCAGCGCTATGCGTGCACCCTCTCCATGATCATGTGCTCCCTGTGGTGCGTGGGGCGGGCTTCTTCACGCTGGTATTTTTGCCTGGGAAGCAGACAGGGGGGGGCCTGCCAATGGGGACTTGTCTGTGCATCCGTCGTCAGTCACTTGCACGGTCTGTTGGCAGACGCTGATGGTCTTTGCATGGAGGAAGGATACTCTCCTCAGAAAGAAGGCAGCGTGCCCATCACCCCCTCCTAGCCTGTACAGCACACCGTTCATTCCTCCTGCCACCTCTGTCACCTTGTGCCAATCCACCGCACCTTCCCTGCAGCTACCCCGTCCCGCTGGCGGTGCACATCCCGCTGCAGCTGGCCTGCCTCTGGCTGACCTCGGCGGGCTACTCCCTGGGCAGCAGCTCACGGGAGGGACTGCACCCTTTGACCCTGCGCCTGGGAGCCGGCTTCCTGGCCTCCACCTGGCTCACCTGGTGGTGGGAGCAGGCCGCGCGGCGCAGGTTCCTGCGCACCTCAGCCCATGTGGAGGCAGCGGCGGCCATGTCGAGCGAGGTGTCGGCCGCAGCCTTCAGGCTCGAGTGATTCTGGGTCGCCGCCCGCCCCGACCGCCGTTCTTCCCAGCAATTCATCGATCTCCCAAATTCTCTTCCTTTTCTTCAGTTTCAAGAGCACGCCTCTGTGCACATGGAGCCAGTTGATGATATACCTCTCTCTATGTGCAGTGGACTTGGGGGGCCTGCCCGGGCACGTCGACGTTTCTTGCTGACCTGGCCAGTGCAGTGGGTTTCCCCCCACAATCTTTTGCTATCCTTCTTGGTGGCCTCCTGCCAATCTTCCAGCTGGCAATTCTCCCAGGCAATTTCCACCTGCTCAAGCAATGTTCATGCCACTTTTCTCCATGGACCGATGCTGCTCTTCCAATGTGTGGTCGGACGAATCAAGGAAGGCGGCGACATCAGGGTACATGGGGTGGGGGGCGGGGAATATTGGACATACATCTCCATCGGGCAGGGGCGACCCACGGCCTGGGGCACCCCAATGAAATTCTTGGGTAGTGCAGGTCAGAAAAAGTACAGGGTCGAGCATGGGGCAGGGGGCTGAATCAAATCGCATCGAGCTTGTTGGATTGACAGGGGGCATCAGTCATGCCTTTATTGACGGAGATGGGGGAGGAGCATTGTACAGGCTACGAGGTCCAGGGTCCAAATACTACAGTGGACGCAGCGCCCGCGCCCACGAGGTTTGAGTACAGGCGGCCGCAAGGGGCTCAAGCCCGGGCCGTGGCGCGGGCCTGGAGTGAGAGGTCGCGGGTGGCGCTGTGCAGAAGCTGCTCCGCAGTCAGCACGCACGAGTCCTGCTCCACCTCCTCCATCACCCGGGCATCTGCGCCCGGGCCAATGGGGATGCCCGGGGAGGTGGGCTGGGAGGAGCCGATGGGCCTGCAGGAGTGCACGAGGATGTGTGGGATGGCAAGCACTGTGTGGCCTACATGAGCAGAACGGCTCGGGAAGTTTGGACCCTGCAGGGCGCTGGTCTCAACCCGCGCGGGAGGTCAGGAGGTCTGAGCACTGGTGGTCGATGAGGCTGGCCATTGCCAGTCCCTGTTCCCACCACACACAGAGTGGTCGCCCTGCGAGGCGACAATCCCATAACACGCCCTCATCCTGGCAGCAACCCTCAGCATGAACACCACCTGCACGTCTGCGACGGCATCACGCCCATCCCATCAATCTCCAGGCCGGAGGCCGTCTTGTACTTTGCCACGGTGACAAAGAGGGCGGAGCCGTCCCCCAGCTCATACACGCTCTGGATCTTGCCCTTGCCAAAGGTGGGCTCTGCAAGTTTGGAGGGGGAGGAGGGGTGGGGTGACTTGATGATAGGGGGGAGTTGTAGGGTGCGGAACGGGGACAGGAGGGGTGGCTGGAGGCGCTTCCCAACCCTCCGAGTCAGGGACAGGGGCTGCTTGGGGCAATCAAAGGCCTCCGCCCTGGGCACACAAATGCAGAGGTGCACGTCAACACGACCCCACACCGGTCCTCCCCCTCCCCTCCAACAAAACCTTGCACGCCCGCCACCCCCTCTCGACCCACCGCCGATGACGGTGGCCCGCCCGTTGTCCTGCAACGCGGAGGCCAGGATCTCGGAGGCGGAGGCCGACTGGCGATTAACCAGCACCACCAGGGGGGCGCTGACCGCCGGGCCCCGGTCGCCGTCCAGCACCACAGCCTTCTCGCTGACTTGCGGCGCGGAGGCAATCTCCGCGGCGGCAGCCCCCCCGCGCGCGCGGCCCACCAGATCGCCGCCCGTCCCCCTGTCCTGGATGCGCAGCACCACGGGGTGAGCGCGTGGGTCGAGCCACAGCCCCGCCACGTCCATGGCGGCGTTCACCAGGCCGCCCGGGTTGTTGCGCAGGTCGAGGATGTACCCGTCCACACCGTCGCGGCCCAGCGTGCCCAGCGCACGCAGCATGTCGGCGGCGGCGTGCTGGGAGAAGGCCGCCAGCCGGATGTAGCCGTAGGTGCGGTCGTCTTCGCCGTGCATGGCTGCGGCGTAGACGGGGGACAGCTCCAGCCGCTCGCGTCGCAGGCGCAGCGTGCGGTGCTCCATGGCCGCCGCCGCGCCGGTGCCGGCGGGGGCGGCAGGCACGCCGGGGACGATGTCACGCGGCCCCGGCGAGCCCGCGCCGCCGTTGTCCAGGCGCCGCGCGATGCCGACGCTGACGGCGCTACCCCCAGCGCCGCGCAGCGACCGCGCCGCGCGGGCATCGTCCCAGCCGTCGGTGGGCGCGCCGTCGACGCGCTCCACCTCGTCCCCGGGGCGGATGCCCGCGCGGTCGGCGGGGGAGCCGGCGATGGGGGCCAGCACCACCAGGTGGCCCGAGACCGGGTCGGAGGCGATGAGCAGGCCCACACCCTGCAGCTCGCCGTCGGAGGCCACGCGGAAGTCGGCATACTCGCGGGCGGGGACCCAGCGCGTGAAGCGGTCTCCCAGCTTGCCGAGGAGGGAGGGCAAGGTCTCCGCGGCGGCCTCGGGGGAGGGCGCCGCAGACGCCGCGGCCAGCGCGGACGCCAGCTCCGCGTCCCAGGCCACGGCATTGAAGTGGGGGTCAACGAAGGCCTCGGTCACAATGCTCCAGGCCTGGATCAGGGTCTTCTGCACCGCGAAGATCTCGGGGGAGGGGGGCAGGGGGAAGCGGATGGTAGTGGCCGCCGCGCCGGCCAAAGGCGGGGCGGCCAGCAGGACCGCTGCCGCAGCTGCCCCCGCTGCCGCGTGCTGGGCGCGCCGGATGATGGCCGAGGCGGCATCATGCAGAGAGGCACGTGGGCCTGTAGGTGAGCGAGGGTGCAAAGGAGTAGCAAGTGCTGAGGGTGGCATGCCTAGGGTAGACCCTCCGGTGCCCGGGTAACATCGGTCGCGCAGGGCAGGCTGGGAGCCATCGCTGGTGCCCCTGTCACTAGGAACATGTCTGATCGAGTATCAATCCATTACCTGAGAGTCTCAGGCGCCGCGGAACTGTGGAGGTCCGCAGAAGCTGAGGGCGCGCGAGAGAGTTCGAACATGCACTCGCACACAACGAGGGCTTGCCGCCCGGGCATGCCCTTGACAGTCTCATGCCTGACCAAGTCCAAATGAATCAGTACAGTCTGGCTTTGTCGGGATACACCGACTGTTGTATCCATCCCAGTGTGCAAGGTCCGCGCGGCGGACAGATTCGTACCGGTTTCCTGGCAACCACTTAACCCGAATCCGGCAGATTGCCCAAACTCTGAACGCCGTAGAGGCTGAATTTCAACAACAAGCTTCACCGCAACACCATGGCAGCATTCCACCGGCTCGGTCCAGTTTGGAAATGAATCACCCCTGGGGCCTCAGACCTTGCCCGAATACTTGTACATGCTCTCATAGTCCGTCCTGAGCTGTGTCAGCGCCTCTCGCCACTCGGCAGCATGGGGCGGCCTGCCCAGGAGGAGGTACAGGAATTGCAGCTGGGATGTAGGGAGGGAGGGGAGGAGGGGTGGGAAGCCGTCGTGAAGTCCTTTTGGGAGTAGGCCGGTTGGCACAGAGCGCTGCAGCGCTGAGCGACCTCGCAGCACAGAGGCAGCCAGTGTGTCCCAGTCTGCGCACGTTGCACACCATATAACCCTCACAGCCACACTCCCCTTGAACCGGAAAAGCGCCACACCTCCCCCATCCTCACCTCCTTGGGCGAGCAGGCTCCGTAGAGCGCAAAGGCCCCGTCCCGCAGGGCCAGCCCCGTCCCACTGCTGCGCAGTGGGCAGGGCAGGGCTCGCGGCTCCACCTGCAGCGTCGCCCACGCCGCTCGCGAGGGGTCGGCCGCCACGAGGATGATGAAGTCCGCCAGCAGCTGGGGCAGGTACGCGCCGATGCTCTATGGGTGGGTGAGGTTGTGAGGGGAGGGAGGCCATGGTTTTCCTGTGGGAATTCCGCCCTGGGGTGAAGAGATGCTGGGTCCAAGCATCTCTTGGGACAATGTACGCAAGCGAAATTGATCTGCAGTTCAGCACCTCCACTCAGACAGGCCCCACCAGATCCCCAGACTGGTCACATGCCATCTCCCCCCCCCGGGGGGGTCAATTCCCCCTCCCACCGACCTCGATGCCAGCCAGCTGCTCCATGACTGCTGCCGCGGCGTGTGCCGCACCCCTTGACGCCCCATCCCCGGCAATGACCCAGAGCGTGGCGCAGCGTGTCAGCAAGGCCCGGCAGGTGGCCACCAGCAGGGGCAGCAGCTGTCCCAGCTCCTGGGATTGGGCGGAGGGGTTGTGGGGGGGGAATAGGAAGGAAAGTCATGGTCTGGGAGGCTGGGAGAACTCTTCAGCGATTCAGGAGAATATCTATGCCAGGCGACAGTAGAAAGACCCCTCCTTCCTCAACCCCTGCCCACTCGCCTGCTGCCTGTGCCTGATGAGGGCGGCGAGGAGCGCCGCCTGCGCGCCGAGCGGTGCCCCCAGGCTCGGCGGGGCGGGGCACGCGCAGGGCCCGATTACCGCCTCCAGCACCAGGCTGAGCAGGCGCGGCTCAAAGTGGAGCAAGCGCGGCCGCGCCACGAGCGACTCCAGCAGGCGCAGTAGGGTGCAGCGCTCCACCACGTCGGCCTCTGGGGCGGAGCCCCGCGCTGCATGGCCCGTGCCTGCGAGCTCCGCATCAGGCTCGGGCGCCAGCAGGGCGCCGGCGCAGCGCGCCACCCAGGCGCCAGGCGCTGATTGTCCCAATGGCGCCTCGCTGGCTTGCACACCAACCACCCCGCCCGGCAGCAAGCGCGCGCAGGCGGCGCGCGCCAGTGGCTCCACGTCCCGAGCCAGCTGCGCGGTGGCCGCCCTGCCTGCCGGCGCCTCCACCGCCGCCAGCGCCAGCTCGGCGGCCACCAGGTGGTCCAGCGGGGCGCCGTCGGTGGGCCGCGCTATGCACCGCGTGGCGAGGCCGAGGGCGGCGCGCAGGTGCTCGCGCCGGGCGCCTGCCAGCAGGTCGCACAGCGTGCGCAGCGCGCCCTCGCGCGCGCCGCACGCGCCGGGGAACAGCGCGCGCGCTGGCGGGTGCCGCGGCCGTGCCGCCCAGTCGCGGCGCAGCTCGGCCGCCGCCGCCGCCGCCGCCGCCGCCGAGCCGCGTCGCAGCGGCAGCAGCGCCATGCCCAGCACGCAGGCAAAGTGCGCGTCGGTGGTGCCCGCCCGCGCCAGCCCCGACGAGGCCACCAGGCCGGTGGTGAGGGGCGCGAGGCAGCGGCAGCCGGCCTCCAAGGCGTCACCATCCTCGCCGGCGGCGCTGGCGGCCGCCCGGGCCAGCTGCCGCGCCGCCAAGCCGGGCAGTGCCTCCAGCAGGGGCGCCGCTGACTCGTCGGGCACGAGGCGCCTTCCGCCGGGCAAGCTCCCGGCGGCCAGTCTTGCTGCGGCGCCCGCCAGGCGGCACAGCGTGAGGTGCTCGTCGGGGTTGGTCGTCGGCTTGTCACCCACTGCATGCTGCCACGGCAGCAATTCAATGATGTGGACCACGAGGTCTGTGCTGACCTGGCAGAGGGCTTCGGTCCTGCGCTCCCGGGGGGGTCCTATTGCTGGGCGGGGGAGCAAGTAGGCGTCCGAACCAGGCAGCGAGAGGTCTGCCAGCAGGTCGCAGCAGGCCTCCAGGGCGCCGAGCTGGAGGGGGAGGGAGGTGGCCTGCACAGCACCACTTGCAAGCAGACAATCGATGCCATCCCCCTGTCCAGAGGTCATGTCGGCGCGCACGCAGGCAGCGGCGAGCGCCACGACCTGATCGGTGCATGCGCGGCCGGCAAGCGCGGCGGCCAGCGGTGGTAGCCAGCCCCGCCACTCCAGGGTGCAGGGCAGGCCGGGGTCACAGGCGCAGCAGGCCTGCAGCGTGTTGAGCACGCTGGGCACCAAGTCTGAAGCCTCCTGAACACAAGAGGGTGTGAGTGAGGGTGGGGCAGGTGCAGAGTGAGGGAGCCAGAGGCTGCTTCAGCTGGCAAGGGGTTTGGGGTGCGAGGGCTGAGCAACCCCACGACTGTGGATCACAGACCTCTGAGGCAGCAGACCCTGCCTGCAGCGCCTCGCCTCCCGGCACTGTGGCAAGCAGGCAGGCCAGCACGCTGACGAGGACCGCTGCCACGTCAGCAGCGTGAGATTCCGGGATGGCCCGCAGCAAGCCCAAAATGCGCAGCATGCCCCGCAGCTCTGCCATGTGCACGGCGGGGGCCCCCTCGCCGGAGTCGGCGAGGAGACTCGCCACCGCCTGGGCCCAGCGCGGCGAGTCCAGGCCCTCCCTTTCCTCAATCTTCGCCAGCTGACCGCGCAGGGGGCTCCAGCATGAGGGTGTGGTGCTTGCTCTCGACCTCTTCTTCGACGACCGGCCCCACTGACTCGCTCTTCCTCCCTGCTGGCAGGTGAACGAGAGGGGCAGTCAGAATGTAACCCTGAATTGATTGAGAGCCCAGAGATCCCTCCTTCGGTCCATGCACCACCTTCCATGGCCCTTGCCGTGCAGCTTGCATCACCTCCTGGCTGATCAGCCACCTCTCAGCCCACCTCACCCGCCTGCTGGCAGCGCTCGCAGCAGCTGAGCCGCCAGGGCGGGCGCCAACCCGGCCCCCAGCGCCCCTGACAGCCCCGCATCCGGCCCTTGGAGGAGGGCTAAAGCGGCGTCGTGACAGGGCGAGCGAGGCTCCGCCGCAGCGCACAGAATGCAGGCGACCAGGCGCGCCGCGCAGTCTGGAGTGGCGTGCGCCTCCAGCGGGGCTGGCGCCTTGAGCGCGACGGCCGCCAGCGCCGGCGAGCGCGCGGCGGCGGCCACCAGCGCGGAGCAGGCGCCGGTCAGCGCGGCGCCGGCCTGCTCACGGACGCCTGGTGGCGCGGAAGGCCTGGTGGCCTGGAAAAGGAGCCAGTCATGGAGGAGGGCCATCCACGCGGCCAGCGCCTCGCCACTTGCCAGGCTCAGCTGGCTGGCCGGATTCACCGAGGCCGCGGCCTCCAGCAGGCGCAGGGGGCCGGCGGGCAGAGTGGGATTGTCGCCCGGCAGCGCCGCGAAGAAAGCGGGCAGCGAGTCCGCCCGCACGTCCTGCCCGGGCAGCGCCGCCACCTGCCGCGCATGGGTAAACGAGGGGGTGGGGGGGATGAGATGGCAACCGGGGCAGTACATGCCAGCCTCAGAACCAGGGTCCTACGCTCAATTCCAAGCCATTGCTCTTGTGTGCTGGCACGCCCAGCACCCGCACACGTACTCATCCGCAACACCCTCAAGCCCATTCCTCCCCTTCCAGCCGACCTCCGGGTGCTGGGCGGCGCAGGAGGCATGCACCGCCAGCAGCGCGGAGTAGAGGCGCAGCATGGCCGCCAGGCCTATGGCGCCCGCCGGGCCGGGGCGGGCCACGCCCAGCAGCGGCGTCAGGTTGCGAGCGAGGGGCTCCAGGCAGGCCTCGCAGGCGCGCGCCACGGGCACGGCGGCGGCCAGCCCCGGGCGCACGCAGCGCAGGCAGGCCAGGGCCACGGCAGCGGCGCCCGGGTCGGAGCCGGCGCCCAGCCCCACCCAGGCGCCGAGCGCGTCGGCGACGGCGCCGAGCACGGCCACGACCTGCCCGTCGGGGACGGCCGCCACGGCGCGGCGCAGGCGCGCCGCGACCTCCGCGCCGGGGGCCGGCGCGCCGCGCGTGCCCAGCAGCGCGCGCAGCAGCCCCGGCAGGGACCGGGTCTCGGCGTGCGAGGTGACGAGCGCGGCCAGCGCGGCCGCCGCAGCCGCCGCGTCGGCCGCATCGGGCGAGCGCGAGGCTGCGGCCACGCGGCGCAGCACCTCCTCCAAGCTCGGGTGCACTGCGCCGTGCTCCACGCCCAGCAGGGCGGTCAGCACGGGGAGCACGGCGCGAGGGGGCGGGGACCCCTCATCCCCGGCGGGGGGCAGGCCGAGCACCGTCGAGCCCAGCGCGCACAGCAGGCCACGTTGCGCCCTGCTCGCATCCTGGCTGGGCTGGTAGGCGCCGCTGGGGCCCAGGCTGGCCGTCAGCGCTGCCAGGGGCCTGCGATGGGAGGTTTGACATGGATGGGGGAGATGAGGGGAGATGGAGGGGGTTGTCCATTGGCAATGAAGAGCGTGCCTGGATACCTTGGAGGCAAGCATGAGGCTGGGGGGGCAGCCATGCCGTGCAAGGAGCAACAGAAGGGGCGATGGAGAGATGCAGGGTGTGTTTTGCAAGGCAAGGCTACTCCCCAGACATGCAGTAGAGGCACACAAAGAGCCACCCCCAACCCACCCCCCACACGTACCCCAGTGCGTGGTCGGGTGTGCCCCAGCAGATGCCGACCAGGGCGGCGTAGAAGGTGAAGGGCACGACGACGGCCTCCCTGCCTCCCTTGGCATGGGCAGAGCCTCGATGGCCTGCAGGGCAGAGTTTAGCAACGGGGTGCTCAGCCCTGGCCGGGTACTTTGTGGACGGGGAGAGCAGTGACCGAGCGGCCTGCACCCGGCAGGGGCTTGTGGGCCCAGCAGCCCCAACCACCAGTCTCACTCCACCTGCATCGCCGCGGCCTGAGGACCCCAGGACGGCGTGGCTGTACTCGCTGAGCATCCAGACCAGGGTCTGGGCCGCCAGGTCGGGCCCCAGCCCCTGGCTGCCCAGCAGGTCCCTCAGCCGCCTCGATAAGTCCTTGAAGGTGGTGCTGCGCTTGAAGCCGGGCCCTGGCCTGTCCGACTCTGGGGCCGACCTGGCCTTGGCGCTGCTCGCTCCCGCCCCCACCCTCTCGTCCACCGCCGCGAAGCCGGAGGTCTTGGCCTCGGCGGAGGCCCAGTCGCTGATGGCCGGCAGCAGCCCGGGGTCGAAGAGGGCGGCCCGGAGCAGGCGCCGGGCCGACCGCCGGACCTGTTCGCAAGCCGCTGCGCTGCCTGGCGGCGCAAACGCCATCTCACACAGGGGGCGCAGCAGCTTGGAAAGCAGCACCGACGAGACCTTCTTCGAGTTGTTGGAGGAGACCACGGCAGCCTGGGAAAGTGGTGGGGTTGGGTGGGTTCGTGGAAGGGATTGTCATTCGCATGGCAGGGCCGAGCATCGTCCCACAGTCTGGGCGCAGGGCAACAGCATGCCAAGTTCACCTCCCTGCACAGCACCGCCGTCCGCATCCTGAGGCACAGCCCCTAGTATCCAGCCCAAAGCAAAGGCTATGGCTGTGGGTCCCCTTAAGGGCATCCTCACCCCCCTCCATCTTGCAGCACCTGCACCAGGGACAGGGCGCCCTCCAGGCCCAGCTGCTCAGCGGCTTCTGCATCTTGGACCCCCCGGTCCCCTGCTGCCCACAAGGCCGCCACTAGGGCGGCTGTGGAGTCCAGGCCTGGATGGTACCGCCCCTCAAACTTGGCGACGAGGCAGGTGACGATGCGACCGGCAGCCAGTGCCCCGGGCTCGTGGCTCTCGAGGGCAGCCGTGAGGCTGGGGACCAGGCTCAGGGGCAGGGTCTCGGTGGCAGGTAGAGCTGGGTGCTCCAGCAGGGATGCCAGGTGGGTCCAGGCCGCGGGGGTGCCAGCGGTGCCTGATGAGGCGCCCAGGGCTTGCAACATGGAGTGCAGGAGGGAGCTCGCGCTGTGCGTGCGCAGCAGTGCAGGCAGGGAGGTCATGGACAGGTACTCCAAGACTCGTATGGCAGCCTTGAACCTATGCCGAGTGTTGAGAGATCAAGCGAGCGTCAGCCTGGACAGGGCTGGGACCTGTTGCAAGTCAGAAGGCAGCGCTGCCCATGCACTTGGCAGCCACTGTCAGCCTGTAGAGTCTACCAATGGGCCCACTTTCTATTTCCAGTGAATGCACACCTGCATTCATCACTGGAGCAGCCCTTCATCCGTGCCAGCTCGGCACCGAGGCCCACACACACCGCCATCGCGCCCTGAGACTCCGGCAGTGCCGGCTTGGCCATCCGTCTCACCCCTCGAAAAGCACAAGATATGGCATTCCTATATGTTGAATGTAGAATTATCGGCTGCGCCAATTTCTCTTGCGCATTTCTGCACGTTGTCGTGCCTTGTTGCATCGGCACATCTGATTTCTCACATTGCGCCCCCGCCCCCGCCCCCCCCCCACGTAAGCACAGTGCCCAACAGATCTTCTGGTCACCCTTACCCGCCTCACACAACATGGTGTGGCTGATGCCAACATGTACTTGGAGGCAGCACGAGAAGCAGCAGGCGTCTTGAAGTAATATTTGTATGGCATGAGGAGGAGGTGTGAGTTAACGTCATGGGCTTGCCCACCCTGGCTCTGTCTTGCTGATGGCCACGCCACCCTCGTCGGTCGCCCTGCCTTGGGGGAGTGGGACTTGGGAGGCACCGCACACGCACACACAGGGTCGCAGCATGCTCTGGCACTGGACGGCGGCACTCAGGCAACTCTTGCATGCCCTGGGCTCGCATGCGCAGGATGCCAGCGACTCCCCACCTTGTGTCGAGCTCGATCCTTGCGGGGCGCAGGGAGGAGGACCATGCAAACAGACACACGGGAAGTTGCCTCCAGGGCAGGCACACACAGACACAGGCACCGGGAGCAGGCTGGCATGCAGACGAGGCTCAGCGCATGCACGCGAGACAGGCAGGCAAAGCGTCCAGGGAGGCAGTCAACGTCTGTCCAGGCAGGCAGTCAACGTCTGTCCAGGCAAACAGTCCACGTCTGTCCAGGCAAACAGTCCACGTCTGTCCAGGCACGCAGGCACTCCCCACAGGCACAGCCGGCGCGTGCAGTGGTCCTCAACGCAGGTTCCAAGTCAGAGCCAGGGCGTCAGTCAGGCCAGCTCCCCATGCATCCGTGTCGTCGCAGTCCGGGCAGCAGGAGCACAGCGTGCACAGCATGCACGTACCTGGGGGCATCGCAGGCCCTCATCGTCCGGGCTGCGCGCCGCGCCGCGCCTCGCCGCGACGCCGCCCCTTCCTCCCCGCCCCACGACAACACAAGCATCGTCACAGGATTCCGCGCTGCACAGGGCTCAGCCGCGCGCCTTCTGCCCTGAAAAACACCCGCCCGCCTCAGAGGTCGGCGGGGCGCTCCCACTGCGTGACGCCGGTGGTGGCGTTGTAGTAGTATGCGCGGCCCTGGTCATCGTGCAGCTCCTGCCACTGCGAGGCGCCGCCGGCAGACGCTCCCGGCAACCCTCCGGCCGCAGGGCCTCCCGCCTGCGCACCGCCTGGAGCACCTGTTGAAACGAAGGGGGAATGCTGAGTGACTCTGCCGGAAGGAGTTGCATGTTCTGTGGACAGGCAAGGCGGAGCATGGACAAGAGCCGACACGAGCGGGAGAAATCCCCTCGAGCAGCATGCGGCCCGCCAACAAAGGCCATGCCATCTTCAGACCGAGCTATGCACAGGGATGGGCGGGTGCTGACTTGAACAAATCCCCCACATCCACAGTCACATTCCCAAGGTGTCAAGCCCTGCGCGACCTTGTCCCCCCCCCCACCTCAGAAAACAAAACCCAAACAAACACATCGCACCTCCGTATGCGGCGGCGCCGTAGCCCTGCGCTCCGCCGTAGGCGCCGTACGCTCCGGCGGCCGCGTAGGGGTCGCCCGCGCCAGCAGCGGCGGCCGGAGCGCCGTAGCCAGGCGCGGCGGCGGCGGCGGCCGGGGCCCCGTACCCAGCGTAGCCGCCGTAGCCGCCGTAGGGTGCAGCACCGTACCCGCCGTACCCGCCGTACCCGCCGTACGCAGGCGCGCCTCCGTAGCCGCCGCCGTAGCCGCCGCCGTAGCCCCCGCCGTAGCCGCCGCCGCCATAAGCCCCGCCGCCGTAGCCGCCGTAGCCGCCGGCTGCGGCGCCGTAGCCCCCGCCCGGGGCGCCCCCGCCGTAGCCGCCGCCCCCGCCGCCGTACCCGCCGCCGCCGCCACCGCCCGCGAAGGGGTCCAGCCCGTTCACGATGTCCTCCACCATGCGCTTGGCCGCCTCGGCGGCGGCGGGCTGCCCCGCGATGGTCACGTTGCAGGGGTCGCCACCCTGATCGATCTGGATGGTGGCCTGGGAGGCGCGCTGGATCTGCTTGATGGTCTCCCCGCCGCGCCCGATGATGCGCCCCACGATGCCCTTGGGCACGGTGAAGCTGTGGCTCTTGCCGATGCCGTTCTCGGCGCAGACGCGCTGGATGATGGCCTGCGCGGAGCCGGCCTCGCCCACGATCAGCTCCTGAATGAGGGCCACCGCGCGGCGCGCGGCGTCGGCGGTGCCGGAGATGATCACCTTGCGCGGCTGGCCCTCGGGGAAGTTCTGGTCCACCGTGATGTGGGCCTGGGAGGCAGACTGCAGCGCGCGGATGGTCTCCCCGCCCCGCCCGATGATGCGCCCCACGATGCCGGCAGGGCACTCCATCGTCTCCTGCACCTCCTCTTCCCCGGTCAGGCCCTCTACCTCACGCCGGCAGCGGTCCACCTGGTCCCTGCAGGCGTGGGTGGGGGTGAGGTTGGGCGGTGGGGATCCAGTGCTGAAGACCCACATGTATACGATCGCTCAGCGGGCCGTTTGCGCCAGATGGGTCCCCCCTCCCTTCCATTCCATGCATTCCCTCTCCCCAGCACTCCTCCACTCCCCTGCAAAGTCCCCCCCCCCTTTCACCTCCCAAACAAGCCACCTCCATCAAACGCACTGCGTCATGCCGGTGATGGTAATGCGGCGCGTGTCGCCGCCGCCCTCGTGGTCCACCTGGATGCGCGTGTCGGTGCTGAGCTGCAGGTTCCGGATGGTCTCGCCGCTGCGCCCAATCAGCTTGCCCACCATGTTGGCGGGGATGTCGAACACGGTGCTGGCGGTGGTGCTCGTGCTGAAGTCCCCCAGGCCGGGGCCGGGGTTGCCATAGGCCTCGCCCTCCGCGCCGTCCGGGTTCTCCGGCGCGGCCTGCCCCTCGGAGCTCAGGAAGTTGGTGGAGGCACGTTTCTTGTCGGGGCCATCCTCCTCGTGCTCGACGCCCTCACCATCCCGAGGGCGCTTGTTGTTCCCGTCGGCGCCGTCCGGGCCTGGGAACCCTTCGAAGCCGGCAGCGGTCTGTGCCAAGGGCAGTGGAGGTGGGGTGAGGAGGAGCGGGTGGGAAGAAGGAGTGGCACCCGGGACCTGTCACGACGCAGATGTCCGGATCAATCAGGACAGATGAGACGTATGATCAGGTTCAAGGCTCGGATGGGGCCGGGAAGGCCCGTTGGGATGCCTCACCTGGCTGACATCGTAGGGGTTGGAGCCATAGACAGCACCGGCCTGCTCCTCGTGCTGCTGGATGAGCCTGGCTGCTACTGCCGCAGCCGTGGCAGCGGCCGCATCGGTGTCAGGCGCAGCGGGGTTCCCAGCTTCCTTCTCCTCCTCCCCAGCAGGCTGGGTCGCGCCATCACCCGTGGATGGGTCCTCGACGGGGGCCGTGACCTCCTCGGCCGCGGGCTCCACCAGCTGGCCCACTGTGGTATCGGCTTCAGACATATTGAAGCACGTCCTCTGGATTACTCGATCGGACAGACCTGGCGCGATGCAAGTGCACGCTCCAAACACCAGGAGTAGAAATCTCGTCCCGGGACGAACGGCGTCTGCCCCTTTCGGGACACCCGGTGCTCCCGTGGGGCTGGACTTTTAAAAGGATCATCCTCGAGCTGATCCCGTCCCCCTTGCCACGCCTGCCATGCGTCCCTGCTCACTGCCTGGGATGCGAAGCGTTGCCTACACAGCTCAAACACCCACGACAAGACCCCGGACGAGAGGAAGACGCAGTGTCCCACCCGTGGTACGTGCGGACGCATGAACGCGTCTGTCAGAGGCCCACATCGTGCATCGAGTATGTGGATCAAGCATGGCAACCTTTCCTCGCACATCCCTGCTGTGACAGAACGCCCGAGGCAGGCATCGCTGGTGGGAGGGCTGTGTGCCAGACCCTGCCCTACAGGAGCAACAGGTGGGACGGGACCCCTCCATGCACGGAGCCTGTGGAGCCTGCAAGGCGAATACCCGCCTGTGGAGGTGCATTGATGTTCATGCCCCTCCTCTCGCAGGAGCTGGTGACCGTGTTTGGACTGGATGGGAGTGTGACCACCTTCCCCCCGAGGCCCTGGCCACTCGATGAGGCAAGGCCTGGTGGAGGGAGGGTCTGGTGGGGCTGCCCTCCGACGCCAGGATTTCCCTCTCAGAGGCTTGCAGTGGACTCAAGTTGCAGCAACCATGACACTGTTCATCCCGTCACTCTGCGCAGGCATTGTCTCTTGAGGCCCGGCCCCCGCTCCTGAGCCTGCCCCTCACGGAGGAGCAGGGCCTGACCATCGGCTCCGTCTTCACGATACGCGCCTCCAACGGCGTGGACTCCTGCCGCCGCCTGAGCCTGCTGGGCTTCTGCCACAGTGTGGACCACCTGCACGAGAAGGTGGAGCTGGTGGTGAGGCAGCGGGGGGGGGCGGTCGTGTCGTCAGAGCGCCAGCTCACCAGGTGTGGAAAGGGTGGAGAGTGTGGAGTCTGCTGCATGCGAGGAGGGTGCAAGAAGGGTCTGGCAGTTTCACTGAAACACTCCTCTCAAGCGTTCTCCTCCTGCGAGTTGCGAGGCATACCCCCCCAACCTGGCTCACTGCGCTCCACGCGCAGTGCCCTGGCCGAGCGACTGCACATGTGCATCGCCATCCCCCTGCTGTTTGGCGTCCCGCCGGAGCATGAGCGCCTGCGGGCCGGCGTGCTGGCGGGCGGCGGCATCATCGACCGCGTGGTGCAGCAGTGGCTGGTGGGCTGCGTCCCGTGACCAGGTTTGGTGTGGGGGCTGGCTGGGAGGCCCCAGCCCCTTGTATTACATTCTCCTCGTCAGGTTTGTACCTCTCTTTGCGACAACGCTCCTATTTGGTCCTCCGTGAGAGGCTCGGCGCTCTTATTAAATCAAACTTAAGTATCCAAGTGTACCGTTGACTGTGCAATAACTTTAGGAGCAGATGTCCACCCACCCAACTGTTTGTAAATACACCAAAGCCTACCAAATCCATGACCGACCACCGCGGCGATTTTGGCACCGAGGCCCTGTCGCGTCGTAATCGCCGATGAGCGTCACACATGCTAATAAGATGGGCTCAAGAGGCGCACATTCTGCGTGTCGAGGATGTTGAGTGCCCAGACGGGACACCGGTATGCCACCCGGTGTCCAGCACCGGGTGTGGCCACCTGCTCGGTCCGGCCTCGACGGAGGTCTACGTCGAGACTCGCAGCGCTGTTCCGAGGGTCCCAGCAAAACATGGAGGCCGGCCTGTGTGGAACGGCTGTCGCGGTGGTGTTGTGGGGCGCGACACTCCCGGCTGACGCCAGCAGCAGCGACAGGTGCATGTGCTTGGGAAGTGCTCTCTTGATACTTTGAGGCAGTGGCGCAACTTCCATGCACCATTTCCTTCTTAAGAAGCCTACTAGTCCCTCCCACGAACACAGAGTGTCTGTGCCTTTGAGGAGGGAGTTTGTGGAGGAGCTCATCATGCGGCAGCTGACGTCCAGGTGAGGCCTCAGAGCGGCGTGTGACTCCTCCGCCTGCGCTCATTCAAGAGTCACGTGGAGCTCAGTGCGGGTGCAGCTGCCCTGCACCATGCAGGGTGCATGCCATGACAGATGGGGAGCTGGCCAGCGCGCTCGAGGGCGTGCTGGAGGGGAAGGCCGGCGACTCGCTCAAGACCCCTGCCCCCGCTGCCGCGACTGCCGCGCCGCGGGTGGGTGGCGCGCAGGGGGAGGCGGCTGCAAGGCAGAGCCTGCTGGACGGTCAGAAAACGCTCCAGAGGGAGTTCGAGGCCCTGGCGGGCAGGGTGCGCGTGGGGCTGGATGAGGGGCACGCTCCGGCGCCGTCGGCCCCAGAGCAGCTCAATGGCCCCAGCCAGGGGCTGGGCCCCCCAGCGGACCTGCCACTGCCCGCGCCAGACCACCCAGGTGTCCCCCAGGGCCCCGGACCAGGTGAATCTCTCTTTTCAGGAAGCCCTAGCGTGGCCAGCGCCGCGACAGAGGCGGTGCGGGGCTTTGCCCGGGCCACGACCACAATCCTCCGCGGCGCTTCGGAGTGGGCGACCGTTGGGCTGCACGGCGCCATCACCCGGCTGGAGAACATCCCAGACAGACAAAAGGTGGCCGGCGGCGCCGTGCTGGGCCTGGGCGCGGCTGCCCTCCTCGCCCTCGGCCTGTGGCGAGGGTCGTCGGATGGCGCCAGCTCGGGTCAGGCAGCCCCTGGCGACGGGCGGGGGGCGGGGAGCGACTCGCCGGCGGGCTCTGCAGCCGCCCCTCCCCCGCCTCCGGTGCCTCTGCCTCCGGTCGCACAGCAGGGGGGCGAGGGGCCGGTGCTGTGGCAGCGCAGGGAGGGCGTGGCGGCGGGTCCGAGTGGCCGGTCCTTCCCCGCGGCCAGGGAAGGGGCCTCAGGCTCCGAGTCACCTGCCCCCCAAGGCCCTCAAGTCGACCATTGGCGGGTGCCGCTGAGCTCTCTCGACAGCAAAGAAGCGAGCGCGTCACCTACCAGGGATGCTGCTGCCGACGCTGGAGGTGAGAGGGGCGACGTCGAAGCCTAGTTTTGGGGATGTGTCTGTACTAGCCCCACTCCCCAACCTGGAAGCGGACCCTTGAGCTATTCCTCAAAACCCCCTCTACACGACCGTTACATCGCACAGTGGTGGATGAAAGGATCGTGACGTCAAGGCGGCATGCAACCCCAGACACACTGGACAACGCTGAGCCCGAGAAGCCACCCGCCCTGCCTCCCAGACTCCAGCGAGGCTGGCGAGGCCCTGCAGGCAGAGACTGAGCGCCCTTCCAGCCCCAGTTCATGGGCAGCCCAGCCATGCAGTGTAAATCGGTGGTCTTTGATGCAGCGGGAGCCTGATTTTCAGCGCTGTTGTCAGCTTTGGTCTTACGCCTAGCAACCCCATGCCTGTCGCAAGGGTCCCGGGACAATTGAGTTGTCGGAGATAGGCATGGGCGCTCGAGGGTCGAGGGGCGACCTTGGCTTTCTCCATGTCGCACTGAACAGTGCCATAAGTTATCGGGCGCAATTCATCGTCCAGGATTGCAAGAAACCGCTGCGATTGGCCTCCCCAGTCCTCGACAGGCATGCCCGTCTGGCTTCCCCCGGGCGTATTTGCGACAGGCAGCGCGCCCGGGCCATTAATCCCGCATCAACTCCCAGTACGGGTCACTTGAGTGTCGAGAACAGTATCTGTGCCCTATTGAGGGCGGGAGGAGCTGCGCATGTCGGTCCTGGGGACCCACACTGGCCGGGCGCAGGACGTGCCTCAGGCAGCCACACAGCTCTTCACCCCCGCAGGATTGCACGTGAGGCGGGCGAGATTGGCTCCGGGTAGACATGCCAGGACATTTGCAGGACAAGAAGTTGCTGCATTCCCTCAAGGCGCCCCCTCCTTCGCCTCGCAGGTGCTGCTCGTCGATGACGACCCGATGTGTTTGAACGTCGTCTCCGCCATGCTGCGACGCTGCAACTATGAAGGTGCGGGCCTCCCGCTGGGACGTCATCCCCGTTCCATGACCCGGTGTTCGCATTGTTAGCCACATTATAGGGACACTCGCTCCGGTTGAGCCTCTCATGTGTCGGGATCTGGCCGAAAGTTCTCCCGGTGTCCGCTGCCGGGAGTACAGCGGCTTGCCCCACCAAGTTTCTCACCTCCCCCCCTGACATGGCACGTTCCCTCCCTTCGCCCACAACCCACAGTCATCACGGCATGCAGCGCGGGCATGGCCTTGCAAATGCTCCAGGACAGCAATACGTCTGCTCACATAGACCTGGTGCTCTGCGACGTCTACATGCCGGACATGGATGGCTTTGAGCTCCTGGAGATCGTGGGCCTCAGCCTGGGCATCCCCGTGATCAGTTCAGTGCTGTGTGTCGGCTGGGTTTGTGGGGGGATCGTTGGCGGACACCTGTGCTCTTGCATCGCTGCCACTTGTCTCCCATCATCTCTTCCAAAACCCACCCGTTCCTTTCCTCATTACTGCTACAGTGATGTCTGCCACAGGCGACACCGAGGTGGTGCTGAAGGGCGTGACACACGGCGCCGTCGACTTCCTCATCAACCCCGTCCGCCTGGAAGAGCTACGCAACGTGTGGCAGCACGTGGTGCGGCGCCGCTCCCAGCGCCGGGCGGAGCCCGCCCCCCCCCCGGCCGCCTCTGAGGCGGCGCCGGTGGCAGCTAGCCCCCGCGTCGGGGCCCCAGCTGCGGTCCACAACGCGGAGGCTAGCGCCGGGTCCCAGAGCGGGGGCGGCGAGGAAAGCGGGAGCGGGGGCCCCCAGGCGCCCGTCGGCACCTGGGCCAGCCACGAGCTGCGCGGCGACGAGCGCGGCGACGAGCGAGGCGACTCGCTGGACCATGGCAGCGGGCCGGCCTCCGACTCACGGCACCGCCAGCCGCGCAAGCCGCGAGTGGTGTGGACCTCAGAAATGCACCGCCAGGTATCAGTGGTACTTTTTGTGGGGGTGGGATGTGGGGTCGAGCGAGGCAGGGGCCAGTTGATGCCGGCAGGGTGTGTGTTGTAGGCGGCCGGCGGGCCGGGGGCAGGGGGAGGACGTGCGGCGAGGGGTGGAAATTGGGCGTCAGGCGTTCGAAAATCAGTGTGTTAGATTGCTTTCCCAGCGCCCACGCCCCCACTGCTTCCCTCAATATCTCCACGCAGTTTGCCATGGCGGTGGCCCAGCTGGGGATCGACAAGGCGGTGCCCAAGCGCATCTTGGAGCTCATGGGAACAAAGGGTCTGACCCGCGAGAACGTCGCCAGCCATCTCCAGGTCGGTTGGAGTACTTGAGGCTTGATCCGGATGGGGTGGGTCGCAAGTCGCTGCTGCGAGCTTGCGTGTGTGGATGGCAAGCTGAGAGGGAGAGGGGGAGGGGCGTGGGTGGGTGCCGGTGAATCTGCCGTGGACATCTGTTGGGTCCAGGGTCACTGCCCTGCCTGTGCGGTCAGGGCGAGCTGTGGCTCACCCTCAACATAGGTACGTGACTGGGCCTCCCCACCTCACACAAACCCTCACACTCTCCTGACGACCACAGAAGTACCGCATGTACCTGAAGAAGGTGCAGCAGAGCGACAGCTCGCGCGGCGCGACGGGGCAAGACGCCGCGTCCATCGGCAGCGCCTTCATGCTGAGCGAGGGAGAGAGCATGGCCAGCGAGCCCACCGCCGCGGCCTCCCTGGCCACCGATCTGGCCAGCCCGCTGCGTGGCAACCCGGCCTCCGGCGTGGGGCTGGGGCCGGGGGCGGGGAGTGCGGGCGCGCGGCAGGCGGACCCCCGATCAAGCGACGCCTCCGACCCGGTCATGCCCGGCGGGCTCTTTCCTTTCCCCCTCCAGGTGGGTGCCGCGGGTGGGTGGCAGGGGCGACTACCGTTGGCAGGCAGTCGCTGGCAGTGCAGGCGGGGATCGTCGTGGCCTGCCGCTGTGGGAGCAGCCGGCTGACCCACCCCTGCAGCTGCGCAGAGCCCACCAAAGGCCCCCTTCCCACCCTCTGTTGACTCCCCCCTTTCCCCCCCCCTTTCGACCCACAGCCGTACCAGGTGCACCAGGGCTGGGCTCCCGAGTCCATGCCCGGAGCCCACATGCAGCAGTACGGGGGCCCTTCGGCCGCCGCCTCGCTGCAGATGGGCGGCGGCCGGATGCCGCCCTGGATGGGGATGCCGCAGGCAGCGATGCACATGGCCATGGTGCGGTGAGGGGGGCATGCGCCGCTCCCATTACCACTGGTGCGCTCCCTCCTCCGGCCTCACGCCTGCCCACCCCCCCATCCCCGCCCCACCCTCAGTTCCCTGGACCCTTTATGCCCCCCGGTTACGGCGTGCAGCAGCCGCCCGGCATGTTCCCGCCCATGTGGCAGCACGTGCAGCCCGGCAAAGTCAACGGCAGGCACACCCCCGGGAGCGTTGAGGGCGCGGCTGGGAGGCCCAGCCAACACGAGGAGGCCGTGCCCGTGAACGAACCTGCGCGGGACGGGGGCCAGCGGCGCT